CTTGTTGCAAATGACTGGGTTTCGTTGTTTTTGACTGCTGTATAGTATTCTATAGAGTACATGTCCCATAATTTCTTTATCCAGTCTACTGTTTATGGGCATTTGGGTTGGTTCCAGGTCTTAGCTATTGTGAATTGAGCTGCAATAAACATTAGGGTGCAGACCTCTTTTTTGTTTGCCAATTTAATTTCCTTTGGGTAAATTCCAAGGAGTGGGATGGCTGGGTTGAATGGTAGGGTTATATTCAGGTTTCTGAGGAATCTCCAAACTGACTTCCATAGTGGCTTAACCAATTTGCATTCCCACCAGCAGTGGGTTAGTGCCCCTTTTTCCCCACATCCTCGCCAGCATCTATTGTTGGTAGATTTCTGAATGTGAGCCATTCTAACTGGGGTGAGGTGAAACCTCATTGTGGTTTTGATTTGCATTTCCCTGATTGCTAGTGATCTTGAACATTTTTTCATGTGTCTGTTGGCCATTTGGATTTCCTCTTCTGTAAAATGTCTATTGAGGCCCTTGGCCCATCTCTTAAGTGGGTTGTTTGTTTTGATGTTGTGGAGTTTCTTAATTTCTTTGTAGATTCTGGTGATCAACCCTTTATCTGTTGCATAGTTTGCAAATATATTTTCCCACTCTGTTGGTTGTCTCTTCACTCTCCTGACTGTATCTTCTGAAGTACAGAAACTTCTCAATTTAATGCAATCCCAAATGTTAATTTTGGCTTTGACTGCCTGTGCTTCTGGGGTGTTTTCCAAGAAGTCATTGCCGGTACCTATATCTTGCAGGGTTTTTCCAATGCTCTCTAATAATTTGATGGTGTCAGGGTGTAGATTTAAGTCTTTAACCCATGTTGAGTGAATTTTTGTGTAAGGTGAAAGGTAGGGGCCTTGCTTCATGATTCTGCACGTGGAAATCCAATTTTCCCAGCACCATTTATTGAATAGACTGTTCTTACTCCAGGGATTGGTTTTGGATCCTTGATCAAATATGAGTTGGCTGTAGATGTTTGGATTGATTTCTGGTGTTTCAGTTCTGTTCCATTGGTCTATCCATCTGTTTCTGTACCAGTACCATGCTGTTTTGATTACAACTGCCCTGTAGTATGTCCTGAAATCTGGTATTGTGATGCCTCCGGCTTTGTTTTTGTTGTACAAGATTGCTTTAGCTATTCGAGGTCTCCTGTGTCTCCATATAAATTTCAACATCATTTTTTCCACATCTGAGAAGAAGGTCTTCAGTATCTTGATTGATATTGCATTGAATGTATAAATTGCTTTTGGGAGAATGGACATTTTTATGATATTGATTCTTCCAATCCATGAGCATGGAAGATTTTTCCATTTCTTGGTATTCTCTTCTACTTTCATTTAATAAATAAAAATTTCCAAAGTACAACTTTTGGATTATAGTGGCTTCCCCCCGCCCCATAACCTTCCTCCCACCTGCAACCGTCCCATCTCCCACTCTCTCTCCCATCCCATTCACATCAAGATTCATTTTCAATTATCTTTATATCCAGAAGGTCAATTTAGTATATACTAAGTAAAAATTTCAACAGTTTGAACCCACACAGAAACACAAAATATAAAGTACTGTTTGAGTACTAGTTATATCGATAATTCACATAGTACAATACATTAAGGACAGAGATCCTACATGAGGAGTAAGTGCATAGTGACTCCTGTTGTTGATTTAACAATTGACACTCTTATTTATGATGTCAGTAATAACCAGAGGCTCTTGTTATGAGCTACCAAGGCTATGAGTTTGCCAACTCCAATCTTATTTAGACATGGCCATAGTCAAAGTGGAAGTTCTCTCCTCCCTTCAGAGAAAGGTACCTCCTTTTTTGATGGCCCATTCTTTCTGCTGGGATCTCACTCACAGATATCTTTTCATTTAGGTCATTTTTTTTTGCCACAGTGTCTTGTCTTTCCATGCCTGAAATACTCTCATGGGCTTTTTAGTCAGATCCAAATGCCTTAAGGGCTGATTCTGAGGCCAGTGTGCTGTTTAGGACATCTGCCACTCTATGAGTCTGCTGTGTATCCTGCTTCCCACGTTGGGTCGTTCTCTTTAATTTTATCAGTTAGTATTAGCAGACACTAGTCTTGTTTATGTGATCCTTTTGACACTTAATCCTACCATTATGATCAATTATGAACTTAAACTGATCACTTTGGCTAGTGAGATGGCATTGGTACATGCCACCTTGATGGGATTGAATTGGAATCCCCTGGTATGTTTCTAACTCTACCATTAGGAGTAAGTCTGATTGAGCATGTGCCAAACTGTACATCTTCTCCCTCTCTTATTCCCACTCTTACATTTAATGGGGATCACTTTTCAGTAAAATTTAAATGACTAAGAATAATTGTGTGTTAATTAAAGAGTTCAACCAATGGTATTAAGTAGAACAAAAAATACCAAAAGGAATAAAGTAGTGAGTTGTTCCTCAACAGTCAGGACAAGGGCCAATGAAGTCATTGTTTCTCATAGTGTACATTTCACTTCAACAGGTTTCCTTTTAGGTGCTCAGTTAGTTGTCACCAATCAGGGAGAACATATGATTTTTGTCCCTTTGGGACTGGCCTATTTCACATAGCATTTTGCTGCAATGACCGGCCTTCTTTTTTTTTTTTTACTGCTGTATAGTATTCCATAGAGTACACACCCCATAATTTCTTTATCCAGTCGTCTGTTGATAGGCATTTAGGTTGGTTCCAGGTCTTAGCTATTGTGAATTGAGCTGCAACAAACATTAAGGTGCAACCTGAATATAGCCCTGCCATACAACCCAGCCATCCCACTCCTTGGAATTTACCCAAAGGAAATTAAATAGGCAAATGCAAGAGCTGTCTAGACTACTTTTAATGCCTAACTCAATGTAAATGCTGTGTAAATCGTTGTTACATTGTGTTGTTTAGGGAATAATGACAATAAGTTTAGAAGAGATACAATTTTTTTTCAAATGTTTGTTATTCCTGACTGGCTGAATCTGTGGAAACTGTGGATATGGAGAGCCGACTGTCTTTGCTTTGCAAGAAAAATCCTGAAGCTTGTAGAAATTTCAAAACCAGGATACCAAGAAATGGGAGGGTGTTACTTAGCAATCTGGGTGACTTAACTCATAGTAATTGGCATATGTATAGTTGTGATTTGCATTGCAGGCATTTAAACTGAGATATTTGGGTGATCATTGAAGGCATAAAAAAGAGTGTTAATTGTTAAAGGAACAACTAGTCAATGTGCACTTGCTCCCCAGGTAGGACCTCTGTCCCTACTGAATTGCAATATGAGAATCAACTGCAAATCTCTCCCCAAACTGTACTCTATATATTGTGTGTGGGCGTGGGGGCAAATTCTTGAACTCTATGATTAGCATAGAGATGGTCCTCTATGAATAAAGTCATACTAAAAATGATACATAATGAAGAAGGAGATGGGAGAGGGAATGGGAGGTGGGAAGGGAGCAGGGTAGGGGGCATGAAGGAAGGAACCACTGTATTCCTAAAGTTGTGTCTATGTAAAAATGCATTCATTAAATAAAAAAATATGTTCATACTTGTAAGAGGTAAAAAAGCAAAAGCATAGAAAAAATAATGCTTTTTTATCACCTGGAATGAACATCAGAGAATATTGTATTTAGATCACTTGACAAAGTAGTAAGACATTTTTTAATTGGGATTCACTGAATTTCTTTCTATTTGTTGTCTCTTCTTCTTCCCTACATAATAGGAAGTAAAGGCAATTTGTTGGGCCGGCAGTGTGACTTAGCAGGTAAAGCCACTCCCTGCAGTGCTGGCATCCCATATGGGAGCCGGTTCAAGTCTGCTCCACTTTCGATCCAGCTCTCTGCTATGGCCTGGGAAAGCAGTAGAAGGTGGTCCAAATCCTTGGGCCCCTGCACCTATGTGGGAGACCCAGAAGAAGCTCCTGGTTCTTGGCTTCAGATCAGCACAGCTCCAGTCATTGCAGCCATCTGAAGAGTGAACCAACAGATGGAAGATCTCTCTCTCTCTGCCTCTGTCTCTTTGTAACTCTGCCTTTCAAATAAATAAGTATATAAATCTTTAAAACAAGGCAATTTGTTTCATATAATTACTGCTTAAGTTCAACCTTTAAGATGTTCTTTATTTTTTTGAGAGATTAATTTATTGGAAACATTGAGTTAGAGAAAGAGGACACACACACACACACACACACACAGAATGGGGGGAGAGATGACAGAGGACAGAGATCATTCATCTGCTGTTTCTCTTCTCATATGGCTGAAACAGTCAGGTTGGGGTGAGGCCAATGACAGGAGCCAGGAACTCCATCCTTTACTCTTACATGTGTGGTAGGTGTGCAACTACTTAGACTACTGGGTTACATACTGCTTTCTTCCCATACACATTAACAGGAACCTGGGTCAGAAGTTGATCAGCCTGCAATGGAACTCACAGGATGATATGGGACTCTGTTTTCCCAACAGCGGCCTTAACCTATTGTGCCATAACCCCTGCCACTAAGGATAGTATTTTTTTTCAAGCAGTCTCAAGTATATTTTTTCAAGCAGTCTCATTTAATCAGAAAGTCAACTGAGACTCTGAGAGTTGTAAATATTTTGTGATGTGTTCAGAGTTAACAGAATAAGAATTAATCAGAAACATGACAAACTCCAAAATCCTTTTCCCTTAGAATGCATCATGCTGTCTCCTTTATAAAATTTGCACACTGTACCCACTATTTGTTTAAGAATGGTGGGGATATATAGAGAGAATAGAGTAATATTAATGAAGAAATGGGGCAGGGTGTGTCCTAGGAAGATGAGGCCCAGATCCAAATTAATTGCTGCAGGACCCAGGATCTATTATTTTGGGAATGATAGGGATTTCTTTAGTTCAGCATCTTCCTCCATTCCATTATATTCTCCCTGTTTCCCTAAAACTACTGAAAGGTGAAAATGATGAGAATTTTCATTTGTGGTTGTGTAGAATCCAGGGAAGGGGAGAAACAAGAGAATTATTTCATTTGAGAGTTGATTTGATTCCATAAAGGAGAAACTAACTTTGCTGGAAACATCAGTGGGAAGGGGTCCTGAATGCTGTCCCATTGTGTTCATGTCCTGTAAGTGAGAGATTCACAGATAACCAAAATCAGAGACGAGGGCCATGAGAAATTGCATGCTGATTATTTTATTGGTACTTGAAACATAGGGTTGTCACATCATGGTTCCAGAGTCATGGATCTTAAAGGACATTATCTTCTTATTCACTTTCTGAAACAGAAACAAAGAAGGAAGTTTGTTGAGGGGACTTGAGAGGGGAAGAAGATGAGGATCCCTAACTAGCTTTACTGAAACGAGGTAGGTGAGGGTCTGCCTTCTCTCCCTTTCAAACTTAGGTCCATTCTGTTGACAGTAGTCTGCATTTACTCTTTCTGTGCACCTAACAGCTCAGGTGTTCTAAATTATCCTTTACAAGATGAAGAAAGAGATTTTTTTTACTGTTATCATTTGATTGGTATTGAAAAGTTTAGGAAATTTTACAAATATGGTCAGTGCAACATTTATATCATCTGAAAGAGAAAAAACCAAATAACATTGACATGATATTCCTTAAGCAAATTCTGGTATAGCATACAATGGAAAAATATGCTATGTTAAAAAAAGCCCAAACAAGAACAATCACATCAGAAAACTGACCAGATCTAGCTACATCTATGAACTGATATTTACATTGTGTAATAAATATATTATTTGACATGAGAAAGACACAAATTTGTATATTTGGTATAATACTACTTGTGAAGAAAGATCACTTTTTGTTTATGTGGAAATAAATATATTCATAAGGACATTTAAAAATGTTATTTTTTGTGTTCTTTGGCTTGTGATATGTGGAGGTAGAATGATATATGCTTTTAAGATATATGATTTAAGATTATGTTTTTATGCTGAATTTTTTAAACCTAGAATAGACATTAATCTAATAATAATAGTAGTATAAAAATATAGATAACTTTTAACAGCATTCAATGAGAAGATGTTATTTATCTGTAATAATGGACCTTTGTTTCTCATACGGAACAAACAAGAACATAGTGTGCTCTTGTAGCCCTTTGAAGGGAAGTCATTGAGTCTGAGCCCAGGAGGCAGAAGACCAAAGGAAGAATTCTACTGCATTTCCACAGTAGGAACATAATCTCACAAAAATATTCACTGTGATAAAAGAAATTTTGCAGCAACCATTCTCAAATTCAGAATTACCTTGGAGATCTTATTAAATAACAGTATCTTACCACTCTATTTTAGAATATCTGAGTAGAAATCTTTTTTTTTTTCATTTTCAATTATCTTTATATACAGAAGATCGATTTAGTATATATTAAGTAAATATTTCATCAGTTTGCACCCACATAGAACATAAAGTGTAAAATATTGCTTGAGTACTAGTTATAGCATTAATTCACATTGGACAACACATTAAGGACAGAGATCCCACATAAGGAGTAAGTACACAGTGACTCCTGTTGTTGACTTAACAATTTGACACTCTTGTTTATGGTGTCAGAAATCTCCCTAGGCTCTAATCGTGAGTTTCCAAGGCTATGGAAGCCTCTTGAGTTCGCTGACTTTGATCTTATTTAGACAAGGTCATAGTCAAAGTGGAAGTTCTCTCCTCCCTTTAGAGAAAGGTATCTCCTTCTTTGATGGCCCGTTCTTTAGAATATCTGAGTAGAAATCTTATGAGTAGAGCCCAGATTAAATCATTTCAATATACTTCAAGTAGATTATGGCACACTTTAGAGAAGGAATAAACATTAGGGCTTGATGGAGAATGAACATGACTCTTGGGTGCCACTGACTTATATATTATAGGGGTGCTTATCTAGGGGAAGGCCTTATGATCTATTTCCTTGAAAAGATGATTGTGTTCCTCTTTGGCCCCCTCTTGGGGTGCTCCCTGTGCCAACCTCACCCCCTGGGTTGCTACCTGTGGGCCTCTATTTTTGGATAATCCTTTTTGCCTCTTTTTAGGGTAAACACTTTTGATTCTTTATTGGAGCTGGCTCCCCTGTATAGTTCTTTTTGCTATCCAGAGATTCCTGGGCAATTCCCCTCCTGAATATCTCTTTCGCCTAACTTTGTTCATCTTCTGGAGGAGGAGGTCTAGTGCCATTCTGTGGAGGTGGTGGTCGCTGGTGGTTTCCATGAGGAGGTGGGCGATGGTGGTTGTGGTGGCCTCCTGGACGTGGTGGTCTGTGCTGTGGACGATCTTCTTGGCTGTCATCATCATTCTGTGTTGCAACTAGGCTCTCGTATAGGTTCTCATACTCTGCATGGGTCATACAGGAATAGAAGAGTTTAGTGACTGATTATTGCCTTTCATTGTCACCCCCTGAGCTGTTCACACGTCACTTACTCTGTCAACTTGTACCCTCCTGCCACATTCCCTCATCCACACTTCTTCCTTGTGCACCACTCCTCTTACTAATACACTGATGCCAGGGAAGTCTCATTTCGTTGCTTTTGGAAAAAGTATGCTCTTTAACATATGACACAGAAGACAGAAGAGCACTGGGATACCTGAGATTCACCCAGAGTAACTCCATGTACACAGGGGAGCAAACATCATTTATATTGCAGTTTTTGTTATAGCTTTTGAATAACTTGAGAGATTTTCCTCCTAGTTTGAGTTCTTGAGCCCTGTATTGAAAGTAGGGTTTGTTTCTCAGGTCTCAGACACATGTTGAGAAATAGGAAGAGAGAGAAGAGAAAGACAGCGTGATGTGCCAGACAGGATTCACTGAATTGCTTTTTAAAGTTGCTTCAGCTGGGGGACCCCACGGACTGCACAACCAGGGGAAATGGGACTGAGTCACTGCTTTCTTTGTGTTTCTCCTGGAAGCCAGGTGCCTTCGAGGGAAACACTGGAGGAAGGGAAACTAACTGGGACTCAGAGAAATGGAGGAAGAGAGATTGTACAGGACTCAGTAGTCTGTTAGCTGTCAGCAGGTATGCTAGGCCTGGCTGAACTGGTTTAGAGCTGCTGTAACTGAGTCTGAAGTCACTGGTATTCTACTTGGTGGCCTGTGGGGCCCACCATCTCCTTGTGCAGCTTTTTGTGGCCCCCATATTGGGCTGCTCCCTGTGGGCCTCCCTCTTTGGATCCTCCTTTTTTTTGCTTTAAGAGTGAACATTGTTGGCCTCCTTTTTGGGGTGCATGCTGTTGGCCTCCCTTTACAGTTGTTCTTGCTGCATTCCAGAGATTCCTGGGCTAGTACCCTCCTGAACATCTGTCTTTTGCCCAACCTTGTTCATTTTCTGGAGGAGGAGGTCTAGTGCCATTCTGTGGAGGTGGTGGTCGCTGGTGGTTTCCATGAGGAGGTGGGCGATGGTGGTTGTGGTGGCCTCCTGGACGTGGTGGTCTGTGCTGTGGACGATCTTCTTGGCTGTCATCATCGTTCTGTGTTGCAGCTAGGCTCCCGTCTAGGTTCTCATACTCTGCATGGGTCATACAGGAATAGAAGAGTTTAGTGACTGAAGATTGCCTTTTATTGTCACCCCCTGAGCTGTTCACACGTCAGTTACTCTGCCAACTTGCACCCTCCTGCCACATTCCCTCATCCACACTGCTTCCTTGTGCACCACTCCTCTTACTAATACACTGATGCCAGGGAAGTCTCATTTCGTTGCTTTTGGAAAAAGTATGTTCTTTAACATATGACACAGAAGACAGAAGAGCACTGGGATACCTGAGATTCACCCAGAGTAACTCCATGTACACAGGGGAGCAAACATCATTTATATTGCAGTTTTTGTTATGAGCTTTTGAATAACTTGAGAGATTTGCCTCCTAGTTTGAGTTCTTGAGCCCTGTATTGAAAGTAGGGGTGGTTTCTCAGGTCTCAGACACATGTTGAGAAATAGTAAGAGAGGAATACTCAGGGATAGCATTTGACTACTGTCATTGAGATGGCATTCAGAGTGTGATGAAATATTCAGTTGGTTGAAAAAATATCAGAAGACTGAGTACTGATCCTTGTGTTTAGTATGTGTAGAGAGCCACATGTAGAATCTGGTTCTTTCTTATTGAAATAGCTCTGTTGTGTGCGTAGTTCATTAATAGGACAGATCCACTCTACTGCAAGTGTACTGTCATTTACTGTCTGTTGATTGCTAGAATGTCTTCATGAGTGTAAGTGCCTGTGCTGTATCAGTCTTGCTATCCTCTTGCTTATCCTTCATAGCACAGTCAGGGAGATCTTTTAACAGATGAAAAACTTACTTTTTCAGTTTTGGGGTTGAATTCTTTAGTGTGTTCCGATTTTACTCTACGTAAAGTATAAGTCCTTATCATGCAATGAGGATGCAAGAGCACTTATATCAAAGTGACAAGTGTGAAAACCTATTCTTCTTTTCATCACACACCCCTTTCTCTTCCTTTCCATCTGCACTGTTCCCCTAAGCACCAAGCAGAGTCACAGCACCCCTTCCCCTCTGTTTTTCCATACCTGCACTTATGCTCTGAATTGAGCTCAGGGCCAGCAGGGCCACTGCGAGCAGGGTCAGCAGCATTTTGGAGGAGTCTCTGGAGTGGCTCCCAAGTGTGTGCTGGGAGACTTGGGGCAGCTCCCTTTATACAGAGGAGCAGAACAAGGGCATCTTTGAGCTCCACACTGGGTGCACCTCCCCTCCCGACGTAACAGGCTAACTCTGCTCACATCCCGTCATCCATATCCCTTACTTCTCTTTTGGATCAGAGCCCAGCAGGATGGGGTTGGGTGGAGGATGTCAGTGTTTAAGGTTTAAAAGGTACAACATGTGACCTGGGCAAAGTTTTTCAGACACAGGGTCCAAACACTCAGCATCCAGATTACAACTGAACTTTGGTCATCATTTGATGTTCAGTATGTTCTGTGAGACCGTGACACTGTCTTTCCTTTGTTTTGTGTATGTGTCTCTTGGTACATGTTGGCAGGAATTCTACAGGCAGAAGGAAAGTGATCAATACTTTTGGCTATTGTCATAATTCTGTCACTGAGGAAATGTGTGTCATATTTAGCTAATTTTAAGGTCATTTTTATTTTATTCTGCAATGTTGAGGACAAGGCTGTTGGGCACACATGGTGATAATTTGTTTTTAAGATGTTATTTATTTATTTTTGAGAGGTAGATGTACAGACAGTGAGAGGGAGAGATAGAAAGGTCTTCCATCTGTTGGTTCACTCCCGAAATGGCTGCAATGGCCAGAGCTGTGCTGTTCCAAAGCCAGGAGCCAGGAGCCAGGAGCCACTTCTGTGTCTCCCATGTGGTTGCAGGGTCCTAAGCACTTGGGCCATCTTCTGGTGTCTTCGCAGGCATAGCAGAGAGCTGGATTGGAGAGGACCAGGCAGGACTATAACCAGTATCCTTATGGGATGCTGGGGCTAAAGGTGGAGGATCAACCTACTGTGCCACAGCACTGGCCCCGGTGACAGGTTTTGATGATTCTCTGGTTCTGTCCCTGTGTATGGAACATGGGTATTGCAGAACTCAGGAGGCCTAGAACATTTTGTTGTTCTTAACATATATAAGGTTTATTAAAGCAAAAGGGGCACTGAAACACTGGGATGTCTTCAGTAGCCTGAAATGAAAGCAGGATTCCTCACTTGAACTGTGGTATTTAATGTTCCTTGTACATATTTGATGCTGCTCCTTTTTGTAGAATCCTGTTTAGTCATGGGTTGGGTCTTATGTCTTCTTGAGAATAGGTTTCTCTCTCACTGATAGTTTTCATGTCCTCCAGATGCTTAATTTTATTAGACTCCCCTATTTTCCTGTCCTCTTTTTCCTAAGGTTTCCTGAATCCGTACTGTTTTCTCTGTCATACACTAATGGTCATTACCCTTTTTTTTTTTTTACAGATTTTATTTATTTATTTGAGAGGTAGAGTTACAGATGGAGAGAGAGAGAGAGAGAGAGAGAGAGAGAGAGAAAGATAGAAAGGCCTTCCTTCCATTGGTTCACTGCCCAGATGTCCACAACAGCTGGTGCTGTGCCATTCTGAAGCTAGGAGCCAGGTGCTTCTTCCCAATCTCCCATGAGGATTCAGGGTCCCAAGCTCTTGGGCCATCTTCTGCTGCTTTCCCAGGCCATAGTAGAGGGCTGGATTGGAAGAGGGGCAGCAGGGACTAAAACTGGCACCTGTATGGGATGCCGGTACCCCAGGTGGAGGATTAACCTACTGTGCCCTGGCGCCAGCCCCAATGGTCATTACTCTTTGTTTTTGTTTTTGACAGGCAGAGTGGACAGTGAGAGAGAGAGAGACAGAGAGAAAGGTTTTCCTTTGCCGTAGGTTCACCCTCCAATGGCTGCCTGGCCGGCGCGCTGCGGCCGGTGCACCGCGCTGTTCCGAAGGCAGGAGCCAGGTGCTTCTCCTGGTCTTTCATGTGGTGCAGGGCCCAAGTACTTGGGCCATCCTCCACTGCACTCCCTGGCCACAGCAGAGAGCTGGCCTGGAATAGGGGCAACCGGGACAGAATCCGGCGCCCCGAACGGGACTGGAACCCGGTGTGCCGGCACCACTAGCCAGAGGATTAGCCTATTGAGCCGTGGCGCCGGCTATCATTACTCTTAATGTTCCTGAAACTTATTGATTATTATATTCTGTTCAGAGCAATTCTCTCCATTTTTATTTTTCCTGGTTCCAGCTTTTGAGTTTTCACATTCTTTTGGTGTAATTCCCTCATTTAATCCTCTAAAGTAGAAACTATCTGCCTCTTCATAATCCTTTTGCCATTTTTTAAAAAGTGTTTTAAATTTTATTTATTTGAAAGACAGAGTTACAGTGAGAGGTAGAGACAGAGAGAGAGAGATCTTCCATCCGCTGGTTCACTCGCCAGATGGTCGCAATGGACGGAGCTGTGGCAATCCGAAGCCAGGAGCCAGAAGCTTCTTCCAGGTCTCCCACGCGGGTGCAGGGGCCCAAGGACTTGGGCCACTTTCTACTGTTATTCCAGGCCATAGTAGAGAGCTGGATTGGAAGAGGAGCAGCCAAGACTAGAACTGGAGCCCATAGAGGATGCCAGCGCTTCAGGCCAGGGCATTAACCCACTGCAGCACAGCGCTGGCCCCTACCATTTTTGTTTTTTAAAACCATTGGCAATGGGGTGTTAGGTTTCTCAACAACTTTTTCCTTGTATTTGCACTGGTTGCTGCTCTCAGCTGCTAATTTTCTGTGATGTGTAGTTGTTGCCTGTTCACGCTGGTTATCACTGGTCTATAGGAGTCAGTATCACCAGCTGCCACTGAGCATTTTTGACTTTGTAAAGTTCTGTGTGCTTGTTAAGTTGTTTGTGCAAATAAGTGGATGTGTGAGGACTGTGTTTTTCTAAGTATGGCAGCATAGTCATGAGGCTGGAAATCCTAGGGATCAGTTCTTAGAGCAGTAGGGCTGCTGGGATCTTATGCTGTATATGGGACAGTGGGGTCTGCCTAATTATCTGAGCTAGTGTAGATAATATTACAGGATGGTCTTCTGATGCAATGTGGCTGACTGTGGACACCTTTAATCCTAGAATGTGATGAGATAGAAAAATGGCGTTTTCCTCAGACATGGTTGTTGATGTTCTGTGACATTGGCCATTTTCCCCTTAATTGGTGTGTGGAAATCAACACAATTTTGGGCCAAAGGACTTGATGGGCAGAAGAGGGCAATTTTATTGGCCTGCCAGTTCTGCTGCTTTGTTTCAATGACTGGCACTTTTTATTTTATTTATTTTTTTGCTGACTCTATTTGAGAAGGAAACTGGAGATGAGTTGACCTGACTAAGCAGAGTGAAGAGCCAGGTGGGAATCAGTGTTAATAGCAGACCTGGTCAAAGACAACCTTGACCTTAGCTTTGTGTGTTCTGAAAACAGAATGGCTGATTCCTCCAAATATCACTCAGCTGAGGTCCTTTCCCTATCCTTGTACAATTTCAAAATGCATGACGATTTGCATGAAATGAAAGCATACATGAGACCCAATGAAAACAGTGCTGTGAACAGCTGAAGGGAAGACTGTCAGGCAGAGTTGGGTGAGAGCCGTGAACAAGACTTTCGCCAGCACATCAGGCATATTCAGGTGAAAGGAAGTCCTAAACCACCTGCTTAGATTTTCATATGCTTCTTATGTTTTTTTGTAACAAACTGAGATTCTCCTTTCCATTTCAAAATCCTCCTGTTTCCCAGAAAACTCTATATCTGCCCTAGACAAATAACCAGTCATTTGGGGAGTGAACCAGCAGATGGAAGACCTTTCTCTCTGTCTCTCCCTCTCTCTGTCTGTAACACTACCTCTCACAAAACAAACAAACAAACAAACAAACAAAAAAACACTAAAATCTTAAAAAGAGTCTGATATGATAGATATGTCAACTACCCTGGTCCAGTCATTGGTCATAATATATATGAATTAATGTCACACTGTATGCCACACAAATGTACAATTTCTATGTGTCAAATAAAAATCAATTAAAATT